GTCTTAACATAGTAACAGAAACTAGGGAACTATAATATATGTTTGTGGTCGTTATAAAGAAACGCGAAGAAAGCGATTTGTTTTAGTTGTAATCTTGACAATCGCTTGCGCTTTTATGGTCCAGGCTAAATCAATTCTCTCTCGCTGCATACTTAATCAGTTGGTAAAGCTCATAATAGTTGCTGTTACTGAAACTAATTCTAACTGAAAAATCCTCGGAAAAATCATAAAAGAACGAAGCGTCAGTTGTGAAGTATATCAAAGTGGAATAAAGTAGAGTAGTGGAAGGAATGCGGAAGTACAAATCGAATAGATTATATGGCAAATCCAGAAACTTATCGAATAGGTGTAAAGGTTTTCAAACGCTAATATCATTTTTTCTGCTGTCCGTCTTTAAGTCTCTATTAAATGTCAACACTTTAATCTAAGCAAAAGACCTTGTATTAACAATCAGTAAGTTATATTGACAGTTTGGAGAGGCTAATATAAACTTGAAAATATGATTTTAAGAAGTTTGCAGGCATGGAAGAATGACTTCAGTATCACAGGATGTTTGCACCGTCCCTAATCACAAAAAGCTTGACAAAAAATGTACTGATAAAAAAGTGAGCATTAGCTGACCGATGGTGCACAGATGGCTGGACTATAATCTATGGACGAACTAATAAGATTTAGGGTTTTTGCGCGGAATTCGCTCACCCATTTATTTAAAGAGCGTTTTGGCATTTTAACTGATGTCCGTTCGTTATGAAAATCCCAAACCTAATTCCTAACCCTGGCAGTCAAATGCAAATCATAATAGTTATTTTACACGCAGGTTTATAAACTTCATTTGGCTCTTACAAGTTGGTGGATATACTCAAGGTCACTTATAGACGCTCAAAAGTCGCTCATAAATTATGACCTACCGTTATAACTATTATAAGAACCATATATTTGGTTAAATGATTGTAATTTGTGATTAAATTATGGCACTTGGATTATAATTTTGTTCTCTTATTATCTGGCGTCGACATTTACAAGTGGATCAATCGATCATACTTTAGTAACGGACAAAAGTAAAATTTGGGAGTGACATGATATAATGTATTAGAATCTAGACGTATCAGACGTTTAGGCAAATTGCAAAAGTTAGTGTCTCACTGGTCCCAAAAAACTACCGACCGAGTAAAAGTGAAACATCTTGTATTAGTGTGAAACAATACTGAAAGCTTCACATAAATCATTCATCGAACTGAGCCGTTCTTACATGAGATGAGGAAAAATCGGTCGCTGAAGATGTGATAAAAAATAGTGACGGTCAAAAAGCTGGGGCTTAAATATGATCAGCGTGAAATTGCTCGGCCTAAAAGACCAGTAACCTCAAGTGTACCTTTTTCATCTCTGTATAAAACATATTATTTCATCAATAATATATTTATTCTTCGAGGGTTTTTGTAGTTGAACACCCCCGACTTCGAAGGTAGCGCAAATCAGGGTAGACGATTACGTAACTTCGGCATAAGATCATGTAAAACAAACCATCACAACATAACCAGTCCTTGATATTAGACTAGATCTATCATTTTAGTAGCATAGATAAGTGCAATAACACCGACATCAGAAAAAAGATGCTGAGAGTAGTCGTCGGGTTGTATGAAATTCCGTCTCATTACAGCGATTATGTGACGACGAAATTCCTATCTACGTTGTTCATCAAAGTGTCTCAGGGGAAAGCTAAGAGATTATATGTATATCCACTAACTGACTTGGCTAGCTGGAAACGTCAATTGTTGTATGGAACAAGATCTATTTACGTCCTTTCTTTTTGTCTTCATAAGTTATACAGTGTTACCTTCTCATTTTTATTCACTCATATAGATCATAAGGTTATTATTCATTCTGTCTATTCCATTTGTTTACTGATTGAAACTTGTGTAGCCCTTCTCTCACCCCTTCGGTCTAAACTCGGATAATGCCGTTTTTTGACCTAGTTTAACTAATTGATCCATTATAAAGTCGTGTAACATCTGCGTGCTCTAGAGATCTCCCCTCCATGTAGGGTACACAGCAGTTGTCTTCGAATAAACTGACCATGAATCACATAACAAAATCACTATCACCGCTCCATCCAAATAAATTAACATTATTGATTATTATGAGAAAAACTGGATAGTTAATATGAATGGATTCGTCCGAAATTTAAAACCGAGAGGACATCGCAAGAAAAGCTTCTAGTGGTTAGTAGGAGAGAAATGACCACACAAACGAAGGCCAGGAACAGTACTTCCGAGGATGCGAAATCCGTTCCTAGTTAGAATAATTGCCTACATAGAAATGTGGGGGATATGAGAGAACTACTGAGTACAGCAAATAAATTCCAATCAACACAAGAATGTCACCACATTCTTTCTTGATAAATTACGCACAGATTGTTTGAAGGATAATATATAATTTTGTTACAACACTCAATGTTTCTAGATCTGAAGGCATGCTTCAATGAACAATCACCAATGTATATTTACAACCAGTTCAAGCAGCACAACCACAATCGGGAGCGGATCAATATGGCAGTCACTGTCGCCAAACTATCAAATAAAATAATATAGATATAGTTTGGGGAAAACCTGGAAATTCAGTGGAAGCATAAGATAAAACAAAAACTATGATCAAGTATAAATAGTGCCATCTCAAATGAAACCAAACGATCAGCGAAATATACATCTGGCAGAATCCCAAAGAATGAATCGCAACAATGTGTACGTAGATAGATTTGCATACACAAGATTTCCCGAAAAAATCATACAGAAGTTCTAACAGCGGTGTACTATCCTTAGAACGTAAATAATTATGGTTAGACCATGTCTTCACACACCACTGTGATGACGTCACTGAAAATCAGTATCTACTCCGCTAGCTAACAGTGATCACGTAATGTACTTTAGTTCCGGACACATAATGTCCAATGTGTATCTGTCATACTGATTTCCCGTCAAACAGAGATTGTGGTATCCTGACAGAATTATTGGTCTATGTTAGTGGAGTGTTTGGAGGCAAATAGAATAACGTAAATGTTACAATGGAGACCGGAACAATACCATCTATTCCATGGTCAACATGTAAGCTACCACGCTGCTCTCCATGAATCGATAGAGGAACCGCAAAAGTGATGGAATTCCGTCAGTTTTGGTACAACAAAATCGTTTGTATTGGCAAGAGATGATCCCGAAAATGCTGTAGGTTGATCGAAATATTTCAGTAAAGTGTTTTCTATCAGCAACGAGGAACGACCAATGATTAATTGTGGTTGTGGCGGCTTGTTGGTGGACCCGGTAGTTACTGTGAAAGGTAATGTCTTAAAACTACTTTAGCATTTCATATCTGACAAGTCCTGTGGTCCTGATGATATTCATCTTAGAATTATGAAGGCCATGAAAGCCGAACATATAACCATACCGTTTGATGTGTTTCTGCAGCATTCCGAACTGCCAAGAGGCTGGAAAGACTCAATAATTAATCCCGTGCATAAAGCGGGGAGTAGAGACGTAGTTAGTAACTATCAACCCGTTAGTCTAACCAACGCAGTTGCAAAACTAATGGAAAGGACTTTTCGGATGTCCATTATAAACTACGTGAAAGGGTAAAATCTTTTACCCATGGACCAACGTGATTTTCGCAAAGACCTATCATGTTTGACAAATCTGCTCACTGCAAGTGACTGGGCTGCGGCAAAAGATCGAAATATCCCTGTAGATGTGATTTTCATAGATCTAAATAAAGCCTACGATAAGATCTCGCATTCTGGTCTTAAATTGAAACTGAAAAGTTTTGGAAACCATTTTGCAGTCATAGATGGGATAATTGACGTTCTTTATGACAGGCGGCAAAGAGTAGGGGTAAATGAAGCTCTTTATCGTGGGAAGCTGTAAAAGGTGGAGTTCCCTAAGATACAATTTTCAGTCCTCTTCTCATTTTACTTTATGTAAATGAATTATCAAGTGTAACAATTCATCCGTTCTACTCTTCGTTGATGACATAAAGATTTGGAGACACATACACAGTATTTCGGATAGAATAGTATTACAGGATGTTCTCGACTCCTTGGTGGTATGGATGGACGGAAGGTCACTAGAAGTGAATTCTAGTAGGAAGGTGGTGGTGCAATTAAATAACTATGATTATTCATGTTACTACACAACACGTAGATTCGTGTTATCAAAATTAATGGACTACAAAGACTTAGGAATCATAATATACAGCTATATCACAACTACGAGTAACTGTAATGCTGCTGCTGCAAAAGACTGTGAGGTATTGTGGGCTATTCGTGGGTCTTTTCAATACTTGTACGAAGAAATGTTTAGATTAGTATACCCGACTCTTGTGAGATCGCATTTGGAATATGGGATTCAAGCAGCGAGTCCTTGTTTTAAGTATGAGGGGGATATTCTGGAACGAGTCCAACAACTTGGGACTAAAATGGTAAAAGGTCTCTCTGGCCTATCTTATGAAGACAGACGGAGACACCGCAAATCATTTCCATCACCTTACCGCATAACACGGGGTTATCTAATATTGGCATATCGTAGACTGAACGATGACTTTAGCATTAATATGTCTTAGATTTTCCTTACGTCTAGGACTGATCATTTGAGAGAACATTCGAAGAAAGTTCAAAACCGAGATAAAATAATCTACCTCTAGAGTTTCGTTTCTCACACCAACTAGTGAATTACTGGAATTACCTACCACAACACGAAGTATCAACACCTTCTGTTATGTCCAAAACAAGATTGAACCTGCACAGTGTTACAAACTGCAAGGACTAGTTTAGGTCGATAGATTTTCTCTACTTTTACTGAAGACTGAGGACTAGATTTAAATTGCAGAGTGAGCAGCTGGTTCACGTCTTACTAAAGATGTTAATACACTCGGTCACATTAAATGTTCAACGGATAGTTCAGCCAGTTTACACTTACATTTGAATTTTTGATTGTTTAGACTCGTCGATTTGAAATAATTGGCGCTATCTCTGGGGTATACTGATGAGTTCGATGATGGACGAATCCCAGGTCCCTATGACCGAGTATGAGCAGATTAAGTTCAAGATGAATCAAACGACTGACGAGGTCTGTTCTTTCACAGAGCATTTTGACTACATAACTCTTAAGGAGTCTCTTTGTTTATTTCTTTAGTATTGGATTCTGTGGACTTGGGCTATCTTTCCAATGTTCGCTAACAAGCTCCACATTTTCCTTGGAATGTCTAATGAATAAAAGTAGGGCTACTTTTTAGGGTAACACTTTGCACTTGCTAATCGCAACATAAATTTTGTGATTATTCGATCGTATATTTTGAATTGCGATAGCTCCGTAGATTAGTTTTAGAAAAAAGTTTGTATGAGCTCGTGTTCTGCACTAATCTTCATAGTCTTAGCCTTTGCTTATAACTGTCTGATATGTGCAGTCAAAATGTGAGACGGACTGGATGCTCAATCAAGGTATTATATTTGAGGTGATACAGAAGTGAGATGTAACCTATGTCTAATACGGCTTTCTTTTCTATGGACTTTTGTGTTTTATAGAAAACAAGGCTCCTGGTTTTTCGTTTAAGTTGGGTCAGATCATCATGATGTTCACTCTAAATATCTAGTTTACGTGCATGTTCTAATGACATTCCCGGAAATTTATCTCCAGCTTTAGAGTAATAGACTGTCCACTTGCTGTTTAGGCTTTCAAGTAGTGTAAAGTCATAATTGCTTCGAACTTGTGTGGTCTAGTTACCAGCTCAGGCTTTTAACTAAGCCAGCATGTCGAAATTCTAATCCTGACGGACCATTTTTAATCCCCTCCCTGCATTTAATCTTGGTAATTGTTGTGATAACTTATTGTGACATTCAAAATGAATGCACATGCTTCAGATATATTGCTCACGATTTGACAATGTACCGCAAACACAAGGACGTAAATACGCTTTTGTTGTTCTACTTCAAATGGGTTTATAGTGTAGTTCGTGAAACAAATATTAAGATAGAACTTTGTCGCAAACATTTGTACCCCTCTGTGGTTTTTAATATTATATTGCTTTGGAGTTTAACATGAAGTGCAGAACGCGATCTCAGCCATCAATTCTGCATCCTATAGAAGCGTCCTACTAGTTCAAGACAGACTAGAGAGATGATACCTTCTAAACGCTACGTAGCAAACTAGTAAGTCTTCACTAACGCGAGATGCACTACCAAATATGGAGGGTTGTTCAATTGGTGATTTAGGAATGTAGTGCAAGACTACTTTCTCTGGGTATAGTTATTGTCGAATTGAGTCGTTATGACAGCCACTATAACCGGATTTACGTCGAACCCCTGGACCACAGCTTTCGTAACAGATATAATCAGTTCTCTAGATGTTATCGGTCATGAGCCATCTAGTATCGTCAGTTAGGAGAAGTATTTCCGTGTGGTTGTAGCAGGCTGATGTTGTGACGACTTTAAATGTAATCCATATTAATTTACAGCAATCCGGTCTATAAATAGTTGGTCTCGTCGATTACACTGCTATCAGCATATGGACAACTCTAAATACACGAAAATACTGACTGAACAGAGTGAGTACTATTGGCATTTCGAGAATTTTAGTACTTGCGTCAGACAATTAAGTACATTTCTTCCCACTGGTTTTTGTTGTCAAAAGTATCAATATCTTGCGCAACACGTTTTTTAAGTTTTAGCAGAGGTTTTGTAATTTTTCCAGCTATTGTGGTTTCCAACTAAAACCATCCCCAAAATCATGGCTGCTTGCTGCGCACATTGATTCTACCAGCCGTTAAATAGTTTCATCGTTTTATTTGATTACGAATAACAACTTCAGTGTAACTGCCCATCGTTTGTCCTGTTATTGGTGTCAAGCACTATGAGTATCACAATACATCATATCCATCTTTAGATTGTTTTGGTTTTCGCCATTTGGGTTCTGAATGTTTTCTTACGAGTTATGTGGTTTCTGCTTTCTTGTGGCCTACTAACTCATTTCGATCCAGATATAAACATTATTTATTCATGTTAGTTCCTAAACAAGGTTTTTGATACTACGGAGGTACTGACTACTTCTACAAAATTGTCACCGGCATTTTTGTTACTAAAGGTTCTATGCTTTTGAAGAGTTATTTAGTTTGTGCCGGCGTTTGTAGCCTGACTTTCATTTGAAATTTACTGTCCTTTAAATATCATACTGTTGCTTTTGGTAGTAGTATAGATTTTCAAACTAAAAATGTGGTTGTCTGTCTTCCTGTATGTCTGTTATTCGTAGATCGTTTACCCATCCAATCATGACCAAGTTTGCTTGTGGCCAAACACATTTAAAATGTTATGATTAGTCTTCCATAGTTTAGTTTCTTAATATTTAATGAAAATAATGGTTGATTTAGGAATAATTGTGCCCTGTCCTTAATGGATTGTGGAATTTCTCGATTCTTTATATTTCTGCATTGCAATTAACGCCTAATATTTCCACCCCAAATTATGTAACTGTTCATATTAACTAGCGTTTTTCCTTATTCAACTTGGGTGTACTAACTGTGGAATGCCGCAAAAATCTCGCCATCCTGTTTGTGGATATGATGAGGTGCAGTTAGACGATGGAACTATCAGACCCATGACAGAAGTTGAACTTCTTCAAAGAAAGATTGATGAAACAACCTCGGATGTAGGTGTCCCATTCTTTTTCACGGTTGAACTTTGTTGTTGCTTGTTACCCTATTGATGCCGAAAATATGTATAAGGAACCTAACAAAATAGTTTTCATCAAGTGTTCTTCAGTTTATATAGGTCCGTGGTTAGTCTTATTTAAAAGTCGTCACAAGTGATGTAGTTGTAGAATTAAATTTTACATAGTTTTGTTATGATCAAGCACTAATTATTTCATGTAATTTAATATTCCCTTCAAGTGTTCATACAAGCATTTTTGAGAGAAAAAAGTCAATATGATGTAATTATTATACTAATTTCCACATTCTAATGTTTTTCAATTGGTTTGTTAGGTCTCTTTCCAACTCTTTTTATTCGTCTTAATCTTATTTTTTTGCACTTTTTAGTCACTAGAAGCCTCTCGACGGATGATGGCTTTATGTGAGGAGGTGAGTCTTTTTACATCTATGATAATAATTGATCAAAGTTGAGAAAATGATATGCTAAATGTTTATGTAATATTTAGGCCAAAGAGGCAGGGATTTCTACACTGGTCATGTTAGATGATCAAGGCGGTAAGGCTACACATATATGTTGTGACACAATTTGTACATTTCATGTTGTAAAGCTGTTGTCTAAGCTGGATGTTAACTATATCGTGGATGTATTTTAATGAATAGGTGGTTTAGACAGTGTTGTGTCTTGTCCAAGAGAACCTGCTGTGCATTATTAATAAAAAGATTGTAAACTACACCATACATATATGATAGACTACAATTATATCTTTAGACTCAGATTCATTGTTTTCAGTATCTCTGTATTATTTTTTTGATGTTCAGATTTTCTTTTTACCTGTATTTAAGTGTCGATACCCAACTGCCTTGTGTTTTGCTTACAAATATACTATAAACTCATAGGAAGTTTTTTTGAAATTTTCAGAACAATTGGATCGCATAAATGAGGGTATGGATCAGATTAATCAAGACATGAAGGATGCTGAAAGAATCTGGATGATCTAAACAAATGCTGCGGACTTTGCGTGTTGCCTTGGAATAAGTAAGTCTGTTAGTATTCTATTATGATTACTTACCAAATGTTATGATTGCTGCTGTACACATTCCGAAGGTTTAATGGCAATATGTAGAAGACTAATTGACAAATTTTTCCCTCGTTTAAGCTCAGTTGATGAGCAGTTTATTCACTGGTTAGAAAATGCAATTAAGGTGATAAATGGTGATCATGGAACTAGTTACATAAATTTATTCATAAATACCCATGTTTCAGGGCGTCATAGGTTTGATGAAATCTTAGCTTGACAAAGGCAAAAATTGACTATCAAATTGAGCTAAATTATGTAAGTGAAGGACCGGTTAATAAAATTGTTATTCGCTGAAATACCTTTAGTTAATATAAAAACAAGAAGAAATAAGATTGCACTACGAGCATTATTTACTGTTATGCGGTAGAAATCCATTGGATGTGTTATTGTAAATAAAATATACAGTCAAAGTTCTACGTGACGTTCCTCATAAGACTGGTTTTAAGTTGTAATCAAATCGAATAATACAAAACAGTAGATGTTATGGTTCAGTTATTCACTTGGTCCTGTGACATTAATTTGTAGAATTATATGATCTAGTTAATTTCCGTTAATTTCTGAGACAGACATAACCATTATTCTGTGCCGTGAAAATTTTTATATTTCAACGTAGTCAATCATAGTTATTTCATTCTTTCAAGTTTTGTACGACTCATTTAAATTATAGGTTGTCATCATCCACTATGTATGGGATAAAATCCACATTAACAGTTTTATTAAAACTTTAGTTTTGTTCATCAGCAAATTTGGTGAAAAGTAATAATTGGGCAAGTGTAAGCACAATATTTTCCAAGTTTATTGAGTCAAGTTAATCTTCCAGAAGATACTTTTAGCGCTCAAAGCAATTGTGAAAATTCAATGTCTCATCCTTGCGTATTAAAATTAAGAGCTAGTATAGAGCAAGATTTTATTCTGTATTAGTAGTAGCCTCTATCTTGCACATGTACATCCAGTTTTAATGACTTTATAAGTAAGCTATGATTTACTCATAATGTCCTTTAGAGTTAAAAAGAAAGATGATTATACCAAACAACTAAAGGATGAGGATATGCGGGGTGGGGACGGACCTCGAATAATTGTGGATCAAAACGGCATGGGTCCAACTGGTGGTTATATTACACGGTATGTTGTATAAAAGGTTTGTATTGTACAATTATATTTTCTGCTGATATTAATGTAATCAATAAAGTTAGAATATCTATCCTGAGTCATAGTATCAGTTTGCGTTCTTACTTTTAGATGTAATTGAGTTGAAGCTGAATTATTTGTAAAGGTTGATAATTATGATGAGAAGTACTTAGTAGTGTTACTAGTTAAGTAATTGATAATTCCCGTAGCCGTACTTGAGAAAAACTTAGGCCATTATGGATGCTTTCTGTTTTCTCAGTCAACAAGGTGATTTGATCGTAATTAAAAAAATTTGAAGTAATCAGACTGAAATGGACACCAGTCATTGAAACTATTGAAAAGAATGATTACTGTGTATGATTGCCGGTTGTTTCATTAGCCAATGTCCCATAGCTTCGTTGGGCAACATTTTGTATTCAGTAAATTCTTATATTATGTTGCGGTTGTCCAAGTTTTACGCGAGTTATACAAAGTTGCATACGTACCCTTGACCACCGGGGCTTACTGGTGCTATCGATTAAGACTTTCAGTGGTCAAGTTTATGGATTATATTTTTGATTTAAGTGATTAACAATATATCGAGCCTTTTAAGCATGCATGGATTTACGTCAACCCAATAAAATGCGTTATAAAATTGGCATTTACTTTATGTTAATCTGATGCTTTGGTGTCAATATTATGGTCTAAAGCAACTGTAAGTCTTTTATATCGCTCCAGGTCCCCTGAAGTCTGTTTTTGCTCATTTTAGAATTACAAATGATGCACGAGAAGATGAAATGGACCAAAATTTGCAGGAGGTTTCTGGTATGATCGGAAATCTTCGTAACATGGCTATTGACATGGGTAGTGAAATTAATCAGCAAAATGTTCAGGTTGAGCGAATACAGATCAAGGTACGTAGTTTTCTTGTTATTTTCTCATCCAAAAGATTTCTTCAACTATTTTATGGTCTGTGTACGAGATTGGTTACCCTTTTGAAGTTGCTTCTGTGATCCATAACGTCAAGATTCAAGTTGTAGAGATGTAGCACCGACTTCTGAAGACTAAACTATGAATTCTTAGCCTTACACTACTTATTTACAGCTCAAGTGCTTAGTAGAATGTCTTTAAGGAAGTGCGCCACGCAAAACAAAAATGGCAGTGTAATGAGGGAATAGGTGATAACGAGAAACGTAGACGATAAAGGATACAGTTGGAGTAAGAACAAAACTAAATCTTACTCATTTGTTGTTTATGAATATTCTAGATAGATAGTATTTATTAAGTGTTACTCATTTTTGAAATAAATTAAATACTATTATCTTGCATTCTGGATGTCTCAAATCACTAGGTTAGGTTACCTCCAGTCTCTTTAGTCATAAATTATTCAATACTAATCAACGTTACTATCATTCACTCCATATCACCATAAGATAAACGGTTCACTTGCTTATTTTACCTGAGCTCATGAATCAAAGTGTCATACAGGAGTTTGTGATTAAAAGCGTAAAAACATGAAGTCGCTAAAGCTATCGTTCCAAAATATTTATTTTTAGTAGATTTTAATTTCACAGGTGTATCGTGCTGACATTATTCACTATTTTTACTGTAATTAAAGAGTCTTTCAGGGACAATGACAAAATTCCTAATTCAGAGAGTGGCTAGGTTTTGCAATCATACGAAAACTTCGACCTGACACGTTATACACGTAGTAGATTCTTACAAGATTAACTTTGCAATGGGACCAAGGATGGTAGTGGGGCATAAATCACTTTCGGCATCAGTGTATTTAGATTGATATTTTTTTGCCACTTGACTATCGGGTCATAACTATCTGGACGAACATCCATCTTGATTATTACTAGCAGTCTATCACAAAAGGTTGAAACCTACTGTAAAAGTAGTTCTAATAGTGTGATCCGGATAGAATGTTTTTGGTTGTAAAAATACCTTTTCTTCAGCAGCCAACCTCAGTTGTCACACTTTTCTCAGCTGTTTCCGAAATACAAGCAGTTGTAAGCGTGGAAAATTGCAGCTGTAAAGGTTTGTGGAGCTAGACAGTGTCACCCACTTTGGGATAGTGCATAGGTTGTGTCGTGTTTATCGAATGCGATTTTTCACGTGGTTGATCTTCCCTCTACTCTTAGTTTATGCTAAATGTAATTAAAGACAGTATTTCAAAGCTAAGTCCTTTATCGAATCAGTGACTATTATTGCACACTATCTGGACTTATCTGCATACTAAAAGCATATGAAGTTTTCACTCACTAGGCTGTAAAGTGTTTTGTAATCTTTGTGTTAATAAGTGTAGTATTCACAACTAACCTTTAAAGGTGAATAATTTATTTCCATTAGTTTACTCTTGTTTTTGTCATGTCCCATAAAATTGATACATTCCGAAATCTTGTCTCACTTTCTGCAAATTTGTCAAATAAATCATTGCTACCCATAAAAACGTCATTCCCATTTTTTAAATAAAGGGTTTATGTGACTGTCCATCTATCGTTACAACATGGCGTGCATTATTTCCTAACCACAACTGCTAGTTTCATACTTTTTTTGAGTAATCTCAGGACCGGATACTTGGTCCACTCATTTTGTTCACTGATATTAAGTTTGTTTTTTCTTTGTCTAAAATTTACTGTGATGCGTTTTATTTTAGGCTAAGTCAAATGCTGAACGAATTAAAAAGGCTAATGAACAAGCCAGTAAATTGTTAAAATAAGTTACATGGATTCGTTGAGTTTTCATCAGAATATTGACTGCTGGAGAAATCTTTCAATTCTTGGTAAATTGCTTTGAACACAGACTTTTCACAGCCACTTCCGTGTGCATACGTGAAGCTTTTTGTGATAGTGCTTCACCAAGCCCTTTATATTCATCTATTTTGTTTATATATTTATCACAAATCAATTCAAGGGAAGTTTGTGAAGTGTGGAGCTGAAATTTTTTGTTATTGTTGTTGCCTCTTATGGACATTAAATTTCTGTCATCCTCATATACTTGTTTATGTTTTCGATTTATTTCGTTCTGTAAAGTCATTAGTTTCCTCTTTTTTGGTGAACAGCTTTATTCTGAATTATCCTTGTCAAAGTTATTATTCACCATTGTTTTCCTCATTTTATTTTGGTTCCTCTCAAAGTTGACACTCAATACATCGATTTCGTGTTCAAAACTACACATCTCACTATCCACTCTTTAAAGTTCAATTAAAAGTTGTTATCTATCCACACATTGAGGCTTATTCTCTTGTCAGTTATGCTTCATATTTACTAAGATTCATGATTACCACCTAGTATTGATGATTTATCAAACTATTGTACTGATAATAAAGACTGAAATGAAAAAAACTAACAGTGATTTTACTACTATTCTTGCCATCCTAAAACAAGTTCACTTTTCCTTTGATTTGTGCTTCTCTTTTCTAACATACTTTTACGAGATGTCATTTTTTCCGAACAACTGATTATCAGTATGAGATATAGTACAAAGTTGATTTATATATCATGTAAATCCATTTGCGTTATTCTCATTAATTAGTCGCGCATTATTTGTTAGAAAGTCTCATCTCTTCCTAAGCTAACTCCTGGGGATTCTGTATTCTTTTAAGAATGGGTTTAATTGAATCTTAGTTTATTTTGCCCTTCTAGATAGTTCATTTATAATGCGTCAGTTATTTCTTATTGGAACCTTAAAATTCTCATAGAATATTCAAAGAATGAACATTGGAACAAAAAATTATTATAGGTCTATAATTATTTTATTAAAGTGACCAAGATTAATTGTGCTAGTAAACTAGACAACGTTTTGTTTAAAAAAAGTGGTGTAGTTCCGCATCTGTTACGGCTTAAGCATTTCAATATGCATCAACTTCAGATTGCTAAGATCACTTAAAAACGGTAGAAAAATTTGTTTTCAGATGTCGAGTTGCAATCAGTGTAACAAAACAACTCATTTGAATTAAATGCATGGTAGAAATTTCGTCTAGGTAATTGAGATCATAATGATAACAACAATACGATGTATGATAATAGCGGTAGATTAATTGGGACTTGATATATAACCGCGGGAGCTTTATAATATCTTGTTCACTATCTGCTAAGTAGGGAAGGTCGGCTCTACTAATAGATTGTGTCCTCCAGTTCCTTTCGTTACTTGTCTATTTCACCGCATTATTAATTTACACTTAATTCTCATGAATTTCTTGTAATAATTACTCCTGTAACACCTCTATTAGCAGGTTCTTGAACATAAACATAGCTACTGACACACTACAGTAGTAGTATTTCTTGACTTTAAGGCGGATTGAACTCCGTCGGTCAAGTGTCTTATAACTGTGTCACTGAAAAACAAATTACAAAACATTGTAAATACGCTCTACTCGAACACTACTGATCGAGTTAAAGTTGCTAGCGAGCTTTCATCAGAATCCCTTGACAGGTGTTGAATATCGTTCAGTGATTAAACCACCAAATGCCTTAGAGGAATACTTATAAATGACTCATGACATTCTCAGAACTGTCTTTACTTGTCACTATTTCTCTAAATATCCCTATTGACACGCACCTGCTGTTGGTGGTTTCAACTGCGGTGAAAGAGGCGGTCAGCTACTATAGAAATGGGTAGTATATCAGTTCGCTAACTGACCAGTTTTTCTGTCTCGGTATTAGTTCGCGAAGCTTTGCGGTGATACTTTGGTTCTTGTAAACCTCACTCGGCCACACGATACAGAACACTTCAGGCTATTGTTGCATATAAATATGAGAATTCCTTTCATTATGATAGAGTAATATGAGAAAAAATCGGAATCAGGTATTTACTGAAAAAGCGCTGAACAAGGTAATATATTATAAAGGGTTCAAACAGAAAATTAACGCGACTGGTGGTTTTACGTTACTAACTCACTAGTTCTAATTTATATTTGAGTATTCTGGTCTGGCCAGTATAGAAACTTATGAGTTATACTGACTGTTTTCTCCTGTATTCCTGTGAGTATGACTCAATTAATCATTATGAATATAAAAAATATAGAAATAGAAAGAGTCTAGACTTTTTTAAATATTCTATTCACATGAAATCTTTTTATAGGATCGGTGATACCACGAATAAGATTAAAGCTTATTAGATCTTAATACCTTAATTGATGAATGACTTACAAAGATAGTTGTATTAGCGTTTTCTATTGCTTCTTACTATGCGTAGTTTCGTATTGGGTATTTCGTACACATCTACATCTGAAAATGAGATGTTTTAGTGCCCAGTTCCCTCTCCGAATGGCTCTTCATTTCTAGAGCTGGATACTAATTTTTTGATAATAGCCGAAAATGGGTTTCAATTAATATCCATGGATATTGTTCAACATAGTTAGCATTTTTCTCTAACCCAATATATGATTTCGTGAAATTAATTTTTATTCTGTGTGACATTTTGATATTGCTTTATTCTCAACGTAGCACTTTATTTAGTATAAAACTATTTTATCATTGGTGTGACATTAGTTTCATCCTCTGTGTAACATTTTATTCATTACCGTATTAAGTTTATATTTTCCAGTGTAACATTATTTCAAGTCAATATGTTTCGCACTAATTAAGTGTATATTATGTTCAGTGCGAACTTCCGTCCAATGTAACGATCATGTTCTTGATATTATTCCGTGTAAACTTTGTGTTTGTTTTACAATAAACTTATTTCCCATTTATATGATGTTTATCAATTAATGATCCGTTTTGTATAAAATCAATATATGAGTGCATTTGGTTTAATGTTGTGTTTTCGATAGCCAACAAATGTTCATTTGCACGAATCTTTATACTTTTACTTCACGTTGTGGGAATTGTTATGTTTCCTGTTTTCAAGTATATGCAATAGTACTATGGATATAACAGTGCCGCTAGAATCATATCTAGTGCTTCTAATACTATTAAATATTTAAGTAAATTATCAGGAACCATCATCCATATAAAGATGTACAGTTTATATAAATATTTACGCAGTCAGTTGAACAGTTGATCAAATGCTCCGAATAGACTTATTGTAATAGCATATAAAACAGATGTTTCAGATTTTAAAGACAACTAAACATACAATTTAATAAACAGATGATTAGTGAGAAATCTTCGCATAAGAACCAAAATATGTCTTCTAACTAAGTTTATTCAACATAACTGAGTGATGATTACATAAGATTATATTACGTTTTTCGTCTGTATATTTGTCTACTGATCCGATAATCCCAATTACAACAAGGTGGTGATTTTTTATGATAATATCCCATAAATTATTAATCATTCTATTAGGATCTCTGGCAATAGGTAAAATATATTTAGTAGTTGAATTCGTGAGCCGATCTAAGCTAGACCACCATTAAAACCTGGAAGCACTGGACTGACGTTTCGTCCTAGGATAGGACTCCTCAGCGGTACGCACCCATGGTCTTGCAAGCACGACTCGAACTCAGGACCTTCGATCTCGCGTGCGAACACAACCTCTAGACCACTGAGCCGGCCGGCATCCAACGGTGTTAATGTCTAACTTGAACCAATACAGGATATTGCACGGCCATCCTCCACTGTCTTCAGTAAGTGACTGCTTCACAACAGACACGGTCGAACTCCACTGGTTACGGCTTCTCACTAGGACTGCAGGAAATACATCTTAGAGCCAGTCACTGGTGAGCAGTCAGCTACAATGTAGAACTAAGCATATATATGTATCGGTCCAAGTTTCCACACCTCATTAGCATAACATGAACACCAAATTCATAGAAGTAGTAGTAATACATAAAAGAAATATTGTGTGTAAGGATATAGTGAGCACATGATGATTATCGGAATGGGGATCGTGGATGCGCACTGCTGAGTAATCCCATACTAGAATGAAACAGTCGTCTAGTGCTCCCACGTTTTCCATGGTGATCTAGCTTAGATCGACTCATGAATTCAACTATTAAATTACAACAATCTTTACGAACCCCCATTCTATTAATAAAAGATATTCGTTGCAATAAATTCTACAGAACTTCACCCATAACACAATCATTAATAAAAGTAAATCTATGACAAAGAGATCTATGATAAGACTTGAGGTAAACTCGGATTACTAAACTGGATATTATTATTTGTCTTTACTTACTATAAATGTTATACAAGTGTTCACCTTTTACCATGTAGTGTAATTAAATTCAATACTTTTTTTCCGGGTCATTCAATTGTTTAAAATGGTAATTTATTACTAGTTGACCAACTAACCTGTATCATCGTCCAAAAGAATTCATTTATTTATCTTATTAACTATTTGTATGAGTCACGTCTCAATATGAATTGTATGTACATAACATCCGTATCGTAATTGTAATCAGTGATTAGAGATTTCGGGTGTTGCTTAAAAATAGTTGTATGGATGCAGGCATGTTCTTGGCTTACATTCTGCTAGATTTTAAGTGTCAATATCATTTCATGCTTCTTATTCTTTAAGTTCATCTGATATACGTATATATATATTTTATATAATTAGAAATAAACGTTTTTACAAATAGTAAAAGATTTGTAGTCAGAAATGTGAAATATTAAAAGCAGTTCCTCTCCAAGTGTTTAATGGATATATGTTCTGATGCATAAGTATCAATATAATCAATGCTTCATTTTCTGAATAAACAAGACAAATCTACTATAGTGGCACTACTCTAATTTTCCAATATTTCAGCATATGACAGGTTGAAGGGTCTTGACAAAATAATAACAACTTTATCATATAGTTAGTGTATATAATTAAAGTCAAAATGAGAACATCGGCTTCAATATTGACAAATTCGTAAAGTATGGGACCAAAAGATTTGACCTGGTGAGTCATTAGTTTGTAAACAGTTTAATAACGCCTAAAATACTTCCTGTTTCATAAACTATTTATTGTAACTAAGTGATATTTCTAC